TTTATCAAAAATGTTTTACAGCCCTACATAAAAGCTCTCCTTTTCTACTCATTTACACAGATACCTGCATTTATTTTTCATAAAATGACAAAATAAAGAAACAAATCAAACTATTTGGCAACACTATTGCTCATTATTCTTCACGTTTAATGTATGACCTGAAGCCTGACAAACCTGTTCACTAGTACAATGCTGTGGATGTGTACATTACAGTAGCTGCAGAACTGAGCCCTGCATGAACTGTAATGATCATTATTTGTGCGTGACCAACAGTTTGGTATAACTGATTGGCGCTAAATTAGCTGCTTTGTACAACAGGCTTTTTATGCAGAAAATCAACGCACAGCAAGCCCACTTTAACTTTGCGCCTTCCTGGTGAGCCCCCCCCCCCTCCTTCCCCGCCAATCCCAAGTAAGTCCTTGATGATTGACAGAGTAGGGATACAAGAGGTGTCAGCTACTAGACCTAAAATTCATAGCTTCCAACACTAACAACTGGCTCGGTGATGCATCTTCTTTGTCATTTCAATTATAGATCCTTGTCTGATGGAGAACGGCGCTGTAAATTATGTGCGTTCACTACTCTCCCTTTTGTCTTGTTTTTTTTTTTTTCTCTCTCCACGCGTCGCATCTACACCTCCAAACTCCCCCTCCCCTCCAATTCTGCACCTTTAACAGCCTCCTCTTCTCATTCACTTGCTCATTCATTCTGGCGACTGGACGGACAAAATACATTTATAATTATCTGTCGCAAGCAGAACCAGTGCTGCTGGAGAGAGGCTGGGGTAGTCACACACACACACACACAGCCAGTTTAACCCTGTCCAAGCCAATCTCATGGAAATAATTCCTACGCATGGCCATGTAAGATAGCTAATCTGCATACGATTAGTGCTCATTGTGTCAGGCTAAAAGAAGTGAGAGGGTGTAAAGCGATTCGCTGATTTTTCACTTGGTTAAATTTACTTTTACCAACTCCATCCCTTCCCCCGCCTCTCGAGGGCCAGTTCAAAACACATTTTCCCCATCTCCTGCCTTAGAGCGGTCGAGCTGATGAAAGCTATTTTTCTGCAAAATAAACTCCAGGTCAGCGGCTCTAAGTGACACATGAACGAACGCAGGGTCTGTTCAGTTATTTGTTTAAAAGCCTTCAAAAAGGCCCACATCCAACCTCACCATATTATTACGTGAATATTTTTTAATTGTTAATTGTTTCAGGTTAGTGGACCAAGGTTAATGTGAGGTTGGATGTATGGGAACACGGCTGAGGCTCCACAGTCACACTAGCAGCTCTGCATTTCACTGAATATCAGCATGTTAACATTTGCTAATTAGCCTTAAACACAAAGCACAGTTAAGGTTAATGGGAACATCATTAGTTTTAAAGGTATCTGGTCTTAAAAGTATTGGAAACCTTCACATTTTGAACTGCTGGTGGTGCTATTTGAAAAGTCAGGGGATCACAAAAGTCACAAGGATTTAACCTCTGGGGAACATCAACGTTTGTGCCCATCCCAGTCATAGATGTAAAGATATTTTATTAGATAAGAGAACATTCTGACCTGCTGTTGATGCTCAAAGTCAGGTAACTAGTGTGGCAAATAATGGATGGTGGCCGATGCTTTTTGATTTACAAGACGAGACACCATATCCATGGCAATGTTGCCATTAGATCTTGATATTTTTTGTCCATAAGTGAAAGATTCTGGCCTGGCGGTGGTTGTTAAGGAAAGGTCAGGGGTCTTCAAAACCATTAGGAAAGTTCTACAGAACTGCAATGTGACCACAAAGGTTATCAAGGTGTGTTGCTCTGGACCACGCAGACGGGTCAACTGGGCAACATCACAACTCTGGTACAAGCAAGCTTGCAGCATACATTTATATACAATGAATACCAGCGCAAGATAGTAACTATTAGTGTGTTATTCCATTGATTGTTATATCATGTTTGCCTTTAAAGCAGGGCTGCAGCAACAATTGTACAATTGATGTTGTGGCCCTCTGTATTATCTTCTCTGTTATATCCTACAACAATAATAATTAAATAATGCTGCATATCTTAAAAGCTATTTAACTGTATAAAAGTAAGTACTAAGTATAAAAATATAACATTCATGGTGCATAAAAATAGCTTTCTGTGTAATCTCATCTCTTGTTATTTGTTTCACCTTTCATGTTATTATTGGGGTCAGGTGACTGCCTCCTATGGGCTGATGCTTCTACTTATGTGAGGTCACACCTGTGTTGTTTGTTTAAAGCCCTGA